TATATATATCCCACTCTGGGGTTGAGGTGAAAAAAATAACTGTTATGACCTAAATAACATGCTGTTGCTATCTGCAGAAAGTATTAAAGCATGAAATCCCGCATTTTTAATGTACGAAAGCATCCTGTATCATAACTACATGTGTGCCGTTTGTAACAAACCAAACCGTGTGAAAATCAGTTGAAAATTCAGTGAGTTATTCTATTTTACTTGTGCATACAGCTCCTTCCTCAATAGAAGTGAATGCATTGTGGAGGCGAAACGAGACCCATCCAAGATGGCGGCCGGCGAGGACGTCGGCTCTGATAGGCAGCGGCAGTCAATGCGGCGTCTATGTATATATGTCTATGGAAATAGGTGCTCTCCTGGAATAATCATTGGACTTTGGACTTGATTAAAAAAAAAAAAGAAACACTAGTTTTCCATCTGAGTTGTGTGCTGATTGTTTTTGGGTGATGATGGGCTGTTTATTCTTAGTCTGGACTGTTACAGATGCACCGCCTTCAGTTTCTTTTTCCTTTTCATTATTCATTCATCCTAAACCCCCTGATTTTTTTGTTTGTTTGTTACTTGTTTCTTTTTAATTTAATTTAATTTAATTTAATTTAATCATATTTTTGCACTATGGTTATTGTCAAAATGAGTGATATTTTTTCTGCCAATTTTTTATTTTTTTTTTGTTTGTTTATTGGGCCAAAGATGTAATCGCATTTATCATCTTTTCGTGTCAGCCCTTATTTCATTTTACAGAAAAGAGTTTTGAATGTGTAAACAGGACAAAACATAGATGTATTTAATGCTCATAAAATAAATAAACAAAACAAAAACAAAGTCTAGATACAGGATTTCCTTAACCATTTATTACCCTTGTCTCACTCATAAACTCATATTCAGAATAAGATATTGTAGAAGACTGGGTTACAATTCAGGAACTGTACTGATATGTGCAATTTGTTAAATAAAATTTTGTTAAAAAGAAAGGGCAACCTGTGGCTCCAGAGCTGCATGTGTCTCTTTGGCCCCTCTCCAGTGGCTCCCTGTGGCTCTGACAGAAAATTATATGGAAACAAATAACCATTATTTTGTTTTAACATTGTAATTTTCATTTATTGTTGTGGGTCTAAAGTGACTCTTACATTCTTAAAATTTAAAAATGCTTAGCCTATATACCGATTTTTAAGAATGTTTTACCATTTCAGCAACTTCAGCATTCTTCTGGGGCCATCACAATAAGAGTATGCATGCATAATAATAATAATATAATTATCGGCCACCGTACTTCTCCTTCACAGCTGGCACAGAGAAGTTTTAGTTGTTTGTGGGTCGCAAACTCACCACTAGATGTCGCTATATCCCACACACTGGACCTTAAAGTCAACTAAAACAAATGTGAAAAAACAACCCTATCAATAATACACGTAAACAAAACGATCTGGTTTATTATATCATCTGTTCAATTATGTGCTGATGTAAAATTCAAATGAATAATAATAGCCTAGTTAAATTCTTTGTTTATGTTAAAAAAAATCCATATAAAAGTTATAATATCACATAAAGATAAGTCATTTTTTAAATCAATTGAACACCTATCAATGCATGTTTAGAGGAAGAGGATGAAGAGGAAAGATAGCGTAAGATTGTTATATAATATAAAACATCTTGTACGTCTTTAAATTTCACCTGCATTCAGTGTTCAGTTTAATGCGTCTTAAATCTTTTTTTTCTTTCTTTCTGTGATTAATAAATTTCAATATTACAATATGAGTTTCAGGAGCGTCAATAGAGACAGTGTAGGCAGTGTGGTTGCACCGAGGGCCGTGTGGTGGGGGGGCCCATAGAGAGAGTGAAACCTCCAACAATGTGTTGGGTAGAGAATGGGTCCTTATGAGTGATTCCACCTTGAAAATATGCCTGTGTTCAAAGAGGAACTCTCATTAAATTAAAAACAGTGCCATTTGTGATATATGCCCTCAAAAAAGGCAAACCCATCTCTGTCATGTTTTTTTAAAAAATTTTTTGTAAAATAGTCAGTCGCATCTATAACAAAATCACATGCTTATTCTATAACTATGAATCAACAGTTACAATTATTAAATTACTAATTTCCTGTTTGCTTTGGTATTTTTTGTCTTATACAACTGCAATGATGATCGCTGGGTAATATGTATCTTGATGTTATCCAATGTCAGGTCTCTGATCATATACCGGGACGATATGTGCACAATAGCGTGCACAGGGGCCCATCATAACTACCCTACACCACTGATGAGTTTACCATATCCTCCTGAGACCCGAACTTTTTTGTATGCATTTTTAATTTCTCCTAGATATTTGTGATCAGTAGGACCCGATAAGTATAATAAACAAAACATTGTCAATGATAATAAAGTCCCACTGTCCTCAAACGAGATGATAATAAAGCCCCAATGTCCTCAAATGAGTATTTCCTAATTAACAGCATCTTATCTTGTTACTGTTGCTAAAATTAGTCAAATTTGTTGCCATGTCAAACTACAAACATTAGTAATCATACATTAACACGTTTCAACCATAAAATGTGATCAGGTTTTAGACCTTGTCCTCTTTTGTGTCAGGATAGGCTGCAGACTGACTTGGCAGAGATGGCTGCCAACTTGTTTTCACATGGATTAGTGTACTTTGCTTTTACTACCACTAGATGGCACAAAAAGTGTCCACAAACGAGGACAACAGGTCTTAGGTAGAATGAAGTGTAAGGTCAATAACCAAAAATGTGATGTCCTCATATGAGGACACAGGGTGTCAGGAGGATTTCCTTTTTATCATTGATACAATAAATGAATATATAGCTTACAGTGCTGGATATAAACCAAAGGTTTACAAGAAAAGCAACACACAAACATACCCATAGGAAAGGGGTTTTGAAGGAACACTGAGAATTAGTTAAATATGTGTTTTCTATGGGCAGCTTCAGACTTGCTGGACACACTCAGCTACGTCTCTCTGCTGCCAACAGTAACACAAAAAACAGTGACTGTAACAGTAAAAGTCACCAAAATGTACTGTTATATATTCAACAACCACTCTGACCATTTCCACTGTTAAAATATAGCTTTATTAGTTTTATTATAACATGGTCGCAGCACTTTTGCAGACAATGTTAATCCTGGAAAGAAGAGACGCTCACCTCTCTCACACACACGCTGTAAACAGACACACAGAGAATCAATGAACGAACACTCGGACATCAACTAAAAACTGATACCACTTCTGGATTCTACCATCTCCAGACGGGGAGGCCATGCCAGGGACAAAAACAGATATGTTAAAGTGTAAGATGGGAGAACATTGATCACGACATCACAGGGGAGGAAACAAGGAAAAGTACATGTTGCTGTTAAAATATTAAAACCACGAGGAGATAAAAGAAATGCCCTGTATTCCCTCTCCATTGACTTTCAGTAGGACCATCAAATAATAAGTGGAAATCAACAACACTGACTAATGTATTATCTTAAGTAATAACTGCAGAACATTTCCCCTCCAGAAAGCCAAGACTCAGTATGTTACAGCGATACTACAGGTTGCTGTAGAAAGCGTTATTGCAGCACAGTTAGTTTGAATGTGAACGCAGAGAACAGACATTAATCTGTAAACAGTTGATGCTTTCGGAGCTTTGCATATGTAAGTACAGAGCAAACATCTCGATGTGTTTGAAAAGCAGTAAAGAGAGAAGAGTACCAGACTGAGAACACAGGAGAGACTCAATATGTAGCAGCAGGTTGCTCAGCTAAAGGCTTGGTAATGACAACACACCAGTCAGAGTGTGCTTTTTTTTTCCTCCTCACTAAAACAGTAAACTCGTTCAGCTCGCTCT